AAGGGGGGTCAACTGCCGCACCATGGGACCACCAGGGCTTGCAGGTGGGCATATGCCTGTGCATCCGGTGCCCCAATGGGGCTCGTGGGGGGGGGGGGTGGTTCATCAGCGCGCAAGGGTCCCTGCATGGGTGCGCAGTGGGTGATTCATTGGCGCACACGGGGGCCCACGGCAGCTCACAACGGGGGGGTTGTCCTGGGTGTCCAGTCACAGGAGCTGGTCCTTCTAAAGGCTGGTTTTGCCATAAAACAAAATAAAGTCAAAGGACCAGCACAAGAGATCCAGTTTTTAGGAATAAAATGGCAAGATGGATGTCATCAAATCCCACTGGATGTGATCAACAAAATAACAGCTATGTCTCCACCAACTAGGAAAAAAGAAACACAAACTTTCCTAGGTATTGTGGTGTTTTGGAGAATGTACATTCCAAATTACAGTCTGATTGTAAACCCGCTCTACCAGGTAACCCATAAGAAGAATGATTTTGAATGGGGCCCTGAGCAATGACAAGCCTTTGAACAAATTAAGCAGGAAATAGTTCATGCAGTAACCCTTGGGCCAGTTCGAACAGGACCAGATGTAAAGAATGTGCTCTACACTGCAGCCGGGGAGAATGGCCCCACCTGGAGCCACTGGCAGAAAGAACCTGGGGAAACTCAAGGTCGACCTCTGGGGTTTTGGAGTCGGGGATACAGAGGATCTGAGGCCTGCTACACTCCAACCAAAAAGGAAATTTTGTCAGCATATGAAGGGGTTTGATCTGCTTCAGAAGTGGTCGGTACTGAAGTGCAGCTGCTCCTGGCACCCCGACTGCTGGTACTAGGCTGGATGTTCAAAGGAAGGGTCCTCTCTGCGCATCATGCAACTGATGCTACATGGAGCAAGTGGGTTGCACTGATTACTCAGTGGGCTCGCATAGGAAACCCCAGTCACCCATGAATCTTGGAGGTGATTATGGACTGGCCAGAAGGCAAATACTTTGGGATATCATCAGAGGAAGAGGTGCTCTGTGCTGAAGAAGCCCCACTGTACAACAAGCTACCAGAAAATGAGAAGAAATATGGGTCCTGTCATATTGTGGGAAAGCATTGGTTCGTGATCGAGGATGGATCTGACAATGGACACTATAGCACAGGTTATTCATGATTTTGAAACATGTGCTGCAATCAAACAAGCCAAACGGTCAAAGCCTCTTTGGTATGGAGGACGATGGCTGATACAGAAATATGGAGAGGCCTGGCAGATTGATTACATCACACTCCCTCAAACCTGCAATGGCAAGCACCACGTACTTACAATGTTGGAAGCACAGATGTGGGCTCACAAGAGGGGGAGGGTCCGCTGCAGTGCCTGAGGACCTGCTGCAGATTGCAAAGGGGGTTCACTGCCGCACCAGAGACCTGCCGGGGCTCACACAGGGGAGTCCACCAGCATGCCCGAGGGCCCGCCAGGGCTCACAAAGGGGGGGGCATCGGTGCACCCAGGGTCATGCAGAGCCTCGCAGGGGTGGTCCACTGCTGTACCAGGGGCCCGCTGGGGCTTGAACTTGGGGGTATACCGCAGCACCGGGGGCCCGATGGGGTTTGCAGGGGGGCATCCGCTAGAATGCCCAGGGACCCATGGCAGGTCGCTGGCATGAGTCTGCCGCCGCACTACGGCCTGCAGGGGCTCTTGGGGGTGGTTCCTTGTTGCACCCAGGGACCTGCTAGAGTTTGCAAGGGGGGGGTCCGCCGCCGCACTGGGAGCCCACCAGGACACGCAGGGGGAGTTCCAATGGCGCAACCTGGGACCCGCTGGAACTCACAAGGGGGGGTTCTGCTGCTGCACTGCTGGCCTGCCGGGTCTCATGGGGGGGGCACACAGGTGCACCTGGGGGCCCGGCGGGGCTCACAGCAGGGTTCTACTGGTGCCTCCGGGTGCCCGCTGGGGCTTGCAGGGGCAAGTCCGCCACCACACCTTGGGCCTGCAAGGGCTCTCAGGGGGTTCCACCTCAGCAACCCGTGGCCCACTGAGACTCACAGGTGGGATCCACCACAGCAACTAGGGATCCTCCGGGGCTCACACAGCAGGGTCCACCACTGCACTGGTTGCACCACAGCAACCGGTCGTCTGCTGGGACTTGTGGGGGGGTCCATCAACAGCGCCTGGGGCTCCACCTGGGCTCACAGTGAGGGTCCACCGCAGCAACCAGTGGCCTGCCGCGGCTTGCAGGGGGATCCACCAAAGCACCCTTGGGCTCGGCAGGGTAGTATACCGCTGTGCCTGGGTGCCGCCAGGGCTTGCATGGGGGAGTCCATCACAGTGACTGGGAGACTGCCAGGGCTGGCAGGGTGGGTCCAATGCAGCAACCAGAGGCCCACCGGGGCTCCAAGGGGGTTGTCCACTGACGTGACAGGGGGCCTGCTGGTGCTCGCAAGTGAGGGTCCACCCACGCGCCTGGTGTCCCACTGGGGCTCACAGGGGGGTTCCACCACCACATTGGGAGCCCACAAGGGGTCACAAAGGGGTGTACTGCAGTGCCCAGGGGTCTGCCGGGGCTCACACGGGGGGTCTACCAAAGTGCCTCAGGGCCTGACGTTGCTCTCAGGGGGGGTTCCAGTGCCGCACCCAGGGGCCCATCACGGGTTGTTGTTGCAGGTCTGCCGCTGCGCCCAGGGGCCCGCCAGGTCTCCCAGGGGGGTCCACCACTGCACCTGTGGGCCCGCCGTGGTTCACAGGGGTGTCCATCGAAGCTCCTGGGGGCCTGCCAGTGCTCGCAGGGGATGGTCCAGTGCCGCACCCGGGGGGCTGCCACGGGTCACCATCAGAGGTCCACTGCCACTCCTGGGGGCACTCCATGGGTTGCTGGCATGTTTTGGTTGTCTCGACCAGGGGCCCGCTGAGGCTTGAAGGGGAGGGTCTACCACCGCACCTGGGGACCCATCGGGGCTTGCAGGGGGGACTCCTCCTCTGCGAGATGGGCCTGCCAGGGGTCACTGGGCATGGGTTAGCCACTGTGCCCAGGGGCCCACCAGGGCTTGCCAGCAGGGGACGACGCCGTGCCGGGTGGGCCCTGGGGCTTACCGACAGAGCTCCACCACTGCGGCTGGGGACCTGCCCCACCTAGCCAATGATCTGCTGCACCCATGGACCCACCGGGGCTCGGTGGTGGTGGTCCACCGCCGCGCATGGGGACACAAGAGTGGCTGGCAGGTGTCTGTCACTTCTGTGCCCAGGGACCCCCTGAGGTTCACCAGCGGAGGTCCGCTGCCACGCCTGGGGGTCCGCTGTGGGTTGAGGATGGGGGGGCCTCCGCCGTGCCCAAGGACCCAAGGGGGTCATGGGAAAGGGTCTGCCACCATGCATGGGGGCCCTCTGGAGCTCGCATGGTGGGGTGGGGGATCTACCACCACCCCCGGGGCCCGATGGGGGTCCACTGCTGTGCCTGGGGGCCCACCATGGGTTGCCGGTGGTGGTCCGCCTCCATGCTTGGGGCCACACCAGGGGTCACTGGCTGGAGTCCTCCACGGTGCCTGGGGTCCCTCCGGGGGTTGCTGGCAGGGATCCACTGCAGCGCCATGGGGGCCCACGATGGGTGGCGGGTTGGAGTCTGCTGTGGCGAACAGGGGCCTGCCCGGGGACACCAGCAGGGGTACACCGCGGTGTCTTGTGTCTCACTGGGGCTCGCTGCCGGGGGTCCACTGCCGTGCCCGTGGGCCCACTGGAGGTCGCTGCCAGGGGTCTGCCGCCACGCCCGGGAGCCTTGTGGATCTCACTGGCAGGGTTCCATCGGTGAGGCTGGTGGCCTGCCTGGGCTCGCAGGGGGGTCTACCGCCATGCCTGGGGGCCCACCATAAGTCACCAGCGGATGTCCACCGCTGTGCCCAGGGGTCCACAGCGTGTTGCTGGAGGAGTTCGTCCAGGGGCCTGCCGGGGGTCGTGTCACGGGACCTCCGCTGCGACATCCTTTGCCAGCTCTTAGCTAATTTTATGCACTAACTCCCAAAGCCAGCTTGCTTAGAGACCTTTTCCCAGCACATACATGTAAATACTGTGGAACAGTGATTACTTTAAATCACAAATTCTTCATGGCACTTTTTTTTTTTTTTTTTTGTATATTGTTATCATGGAGTTTATACAAATATTTTTCCATATAAAGTTAGTCAAAAAGTTAGTTGAAGGCCAGTGACAGGAAACTGAGATAGACTCAGATAGATAGACTGAGATTTCCTTTGTACAACTCCTATGAACAACTGCAACCCAGGGGAAGACAGAAAGATAAATGCTTCATTGTACAGTTGAATTGATGTTGTACTAAAAACTTCTACGTGATTGTCCAGCCTATTAGCTAATAGGTCAGGCATGTGAATCACACTGTAGATGCTATATTTACTTTTGAAGACAAGCTGTCACAGCTGTAGGCTATACATAACCATTCTCATACAGGGCAAGCAGCCTCAACATATGTGATCTTCTATAAAAATGCTGAAGGACTTTAATTAAGCCTGTAATACAAAATTTTGTTCAGAAGAAAACTTTATCCATACCAGGATTCTACCTGCCATAGTAAGTGATTCTTTTTCTGTCTTTTAAAACAGAAAACATTTATATTAGGTATTTTACCCAAAATTAGGATAAAAAGCTTTTTATTTGTTTTCCCACAACAGAAACATAATTAAAAGCTTATTTTATACAATGTTTTGCCTAAAGGCAATATTTGTACTAAAATTTTATTATGTTTTTGCCAACATAGAGTCATTTTGAATAAAAGAAAACTAAATTTGTTTAGAACATGCAATAATGAGTAAAATGAATAATAATAAAAAAGAACTTATTAAAATAGCTTAATAAGAAATTGCTGATTGGAAAACAGTTTCCTACTGCTTCAAGCCTTTGGCATGTTGTTATTTATGGCTATTCTACACATAAAAATATTGCTTTTGTAGAGAAGAATAATTTGAAAAATAATGAATGCACATTATCATTACTGTTACTTTCATATGTACTCTTGTTTTCCACAGATATGGGTATTCTTGCTGTACTTGCCCTACCATTGGTTATTCTCGGGATCAGTGGAATTATTTATATTTACCAGTCAGTCATATGGCTACTGTCCCAGTCAGCAGTACAAAACAAGGTGGTGGTAATCACAGATGCCATCTCTCGACTAGGCAATGGTGAGTTGTCTCTTTTCTTCTCAGTGTCAGGGAACACAAATGGGCACAGATCCTCTTCTACATGATTTCATGTGCATTCATTACCTTGAGCTGGATGCAGAAGTTAGGAAATGCAGTTATGAATAAAGCCTATCATTTTTAAATGTACATTTTGTCTCAGCCACAGGAACTGATGTTGGACTTATAGGAACAGCAGAGCATTATGTTTATTCAATTCAATAGAATAAGAGGTTTTATAAGCACACTGAGAGCTATTTTTAGCATGTTGCTATTCTGAGATCTTATGTCATAGGTTGCCACTGTAGGGTAGCAGCAATCATTATAAACAGGTGTCATGATACTCTGTTACAGGTTCCTTTTCAGCCTTTAAAAGCTTCTAGATTTCCTGCTCCCTTTCACTTGTATACGGAAGTGCTCAGCTCTCTCTCCATATTCATATAATTTTACCCCTCTATAGCCTATGTTCTTCTTCGCTATTCCTCTTCAATATTCTTCAGTACCTCCAACTGGGATGTCTGACTATGTGTGACGGTGGGTTCACTGGAAGGAAGAAAAGGGTATATCATAATTTATGTTTATATAAATGGGTTGACTAGGTGAGCAGTCATTTACCATCTGCTTCTTCCTGGTCTGTATTTCCTTCTTACACAGTCCTATGAGATTAAAAGCACTGGGTCATACATGCTTGTGTACAGTCCTGCTGCAGACATTACTTGAAGGGCAGTGGATGCAAGTACCTCCTAAGTCAAACATAGCTTGGGGTTACGTTTTGGCCTTTTCTAAGTATGCCAGAAAACTTACATTTCCAAGCAGGCAAGAGTTGTTGGAAAGGCATGCTCTTGCATAATTATTCTTAAGCGAGCAGAACAGTGACCCATGACAGAAATAGAGACTATGCTAATAAGGAGTGGTGTTCATCAGGGCCTGTTGAGACGAGGCATGAGATAAAGTTGGACCTCAACATCCCACCTAGCTTTTCCCTTTTCCTGAAAACTTCAGTTTTAGTTAAAGATAATATTAGCATACATTTTATCTGGTTGGTTATATTTAAGTATTTTTGTTTAGAGAGGCACAATTTAGACTTACGGCCAGCATATGAGTCTCTGGGTGAAAGGTGTGAGGTGGAGACTGGATGGTTCCTTGGCAGTGTATTATATGAACTGTTTCCAATTGTCTGCTAGTTTTATGATAAACTGGCAGCCTCACTTTCTGAGATCAAAAGGAAATCATAGTTGTTTGTTTGTTTGTTTGTTTTTTCATTTAATAACAGTTAAATCTTCCAAAGGAGATGAAATTAATATTAGCAGAAAAAGGGTGCAGAAACTTCCTGGTCACACAAAAAATTGGCTGAATATGAGCCAGCAGTGTGCTCAGGTGGCCAAGAAGGCCAACAGCATCCTGGCTTGTATAAGAAACAGTGTGGCCAGCAGGGCTAGGGAAGTGACTGTCCCCCTGTACCTGGCTCTGGTAAGGCTGCACCTTGAGTACTGTTTTCAGTTTTGGGCCCCTCACTACAGAAAGGACATGGAGGTGCTCGAGCGAATCCAGAGAAGGGCAACGAAACTGGTGAGGGGTCTGGAGAATAAGTCTGATGAGGAACAGCTGAGGGAGCTGGGGCTGTTCAGCCTGGAAAAGAGGAGTCTCAGGGGCGACCTTATCGCGCTCTACAGGTACCGTAAAGGAGGCTGTAGCAAGGTGGGGGTTGGTCTATTCTGCCATGTGTCTGGTGACAGGATGAGGGGGAATGGGCTAAAGTTGCATCAGGGGAGGTTTAGGTTGGATATTAGGAAGAACTTCTTTAATGAAAGGGTTGTTAGGCATTGGAATGCGCTGCCCAGGGAAGTGGTTCAGTCACCCTCCCTGAAGGTCTTTAAAAGACATTTAGATGTAAAGCTTAGTAATATGGTTTAGAGGAGGACTTGTTAGTGTTAGGTCAGAGGTTGGATTAGGTGATCTCGGAGGTGTCTTCCAACATAGTTGATTCTGTGATCCTGCAAGTCTGTGAAATCTGCAACAAAAATGATATATGTGGACATTTTAATAAAATTACTAGGTAATAAAGAAGATGAGGGACTCAAGTTCAGTTTAACACTGTTTACTAACCTTCTAAATGGTAGGAAATGAATGGTGTTCTCACCTGTTTCTACTCAGATTGAATGAATTTGCTTTAAACTGTGATATTCCACATCTTTTAATAAAATTTGGCTAATACTGAAATCAGCAGGTTCTGCTTCATTTTTGCAGAAAGATACAACTATTGTCAAAGGAAGAAAGTTGTGTTTTGTAATAAGTAACTGAAAACTGATTTATTTTACTAGATATCTTTCTCAAATGAGAACCCACTTACGATGTCTTTCATCTCTTCTACTTCATTTATGCATAAATACCATTGAACATTTACAATTTTAGCAGTTTATAAAAATTATATTGCTGTGGTTCAACTTGGCATGCATCTAAACACTATACAGCTGTTCACTCACTCCTTTGCCCCAGTGGGATGAGGAATAGAATCAAAAAAGGTAAAAATGCAAGATAAGGGCAGTTTAAAGGGAAAAAAAAAAAAAGAATTAAAAAACGCAAATGGTGCACAATGCAATTGGTCACCGCCACCCAACCAAATCCCAGACATTCTCCAATTAATGGCAGTCCCCCCAGCCAACCCCCTCCAGTTTTATTGTTCAGCATGATATCATGTGACATGAGATACGTCTTTGGCCAGTTTGGGTCCTGGCTTTGTCCCCTCTCAGCTTCTCATGCATATCCAGCCTACTCTCTAGCAAAGCAGCAGGAGAGGCAGAAGAGTCCTTCATTTGGTGTAAGCACTGTTCAGCAACTAAAACATCAATGTGTTATGAATGTTATTTTCAACCTAAACCCAAACCATAGCACCATACCAGCTGCTAGAAAGAAAATTAGCCCAATCCCAGCCAAAACTAAGACATGTTTATGGACTGAGATTATATGTACAGATACATAGGATGCAGTTCATAAATACTGTTGCTTTATTTTTAAAGAGGTTTGTGTATGTATTGAGAATCAATTGTATGTGAGACGACGCGTGCCTAGGAGGCTCAACAGGAATAATACTGAACAAAATGCAGCATGCTCATCTAATACTACTGAATGTGCCTGGACATCTTGAAAGAAAAAAATGGCTGGAAACTGTGTTACTTAAGGTCCCTCCCTGGCTAGAGATGTCCCTGTGCAGTTGTGACAATGGGGATATGCCTGAGTAGGTAAATGTTAGAGTGGCTGTGCCTGTCTTTAAGGGACAAACTTGAAAACTGAGTCTTCAGGAGGAAATGGATGTGCCATGAGGATAATTCTTCACTTGACTATTATCTTTACGATAGTTGAGGAGGAGCAAGGGATTGAAATTCCCCAGACTAGCTCTGATTTTATCTGTGAACAAAGCTAGTAGGTTACATGTGAAATAACCCTGTGTGCTGTATATAAAGGGAACCAGGAAAAAACTTGATGAAATCACTTGTTGAACTTGGCTTTTCGATGTGCAGCAGGGTCTGTTGTTCTCTTTCTAGGCCAGTGGGTTTACTTCTGTGATTCCTTGATCATAGAATGGCCTGGGTTGAAAAGGACCTTAAAGATCATGTAGTTTCAACCCCCCTGCTCTGGGCAGGGGTGCCAACCACTAGAGCAGGCTGCCCAGAGCCACATCCAGCCTGGCCTTGAATGCCTTCACGGATGGGGCATCCACAACCACTCTGGGCAACCTGTTCCAGTGCCTCACCACCCTCTGAGTGAAAAATTTTATCCTAATTGCTAAGCTAAATCTCCCGTCTTAGTTTAAAACCATTCCCCCTTGTCCTATCACTATCAACACATGTAAACAGGCACTCCCCCTCCTGTTTATATGCTCCCTTCAAGTATTTGAAGGCTGCAATGAGGTCTCCCCAGAGCCTTCTCTTCTCTTGATGTCAGTGTTGCTCACCCATGGCTTATTTGGTAGCTGTGGCAGAAGACCTGGACAGACTTCTCCTAACTGGGCCAGCAGATGTTAGATGATTAGCGCTTATCCTTTATTACCTCTTATAACTTCATTACCTTTATTTCCATTTATAAGATTATTACCACCTTGGTTTGTTGTTGTTGTTGTTGTTGTTTGTTTGTTTTGTTTTGTTTTGTTTTTTGTTAGTTTCTGGGTTTGGTGATTTCTTTTACTGACTTTGAAATGTCATTTACCATTATCTGAACAGTCTGGAAAAGCACATATGTGCACTAGAAATGGTATGCTTTTTGTTTGTTTGTGGAGAAGGAAGGAGAATTACATTATTTTATATGTATACCTGCCTTCTTTAAAAAGAAAAGAAAAAAAATATATATATTATTTATAACATACTGTAGCATTTTTTAGAATAAACCATTGTAGAGACTAGAAGACTCATAGAATCTTAGACTGGTTTGGACTGGAACGGACCTTAAAGATCATCTAAGTCCAACCCACGCTCTGCCATAGGTACCAGGTTGCACAAAGCCCCATCCAAAACTGCCCTTTAATATATTGGGGATGGGCCATTCACAGCTTCCCCAGGAAACCTACTCTTCTGGTCTGTAGTTCCTCAGGTCCTCCTTTCTGCCCTTTTTAGAAATGAGAGTGATGTTTCGCTTATTCCAGTCACCAGCAACTTCACCTGACTTCCATGACTTTTCAAATATGATGGAGAGTGACTTGTCAACTACAACAGCCAGTTCCCTCAGGATGCTGGGATGCATATCCTTAGGCCCAATAGGCTTGTACTGGTTCACTTTCTTCAGGTGGTCTCATACCTGCTCTTTGCTTACAGTGGGAGGGAACTTTGCCCCTCCCCTTTTGCCTCAGCCCCTGCCTAGAGGTACAGGGACATGAGAGTGGTGGGAAGCCTGACTGGCAGTGAACACTGAGGCAAAGTTGTTGAATAACGCAGCCTTCTCTATGTCTGTTGTTACCAGTTCTTCCTTATTTATCAGAGGGGGTACACTTTCCTTGGCCTTTCTTTTCTGACCTACATATAAAATCTCTTTTTTTTCTTTGCATCTCTTGCTGAGCTCAGATCCATCTGTGCCTTGGCTTTCTTGGTCCCATCTTTGCACATGCAGATGGCATCCCTTGTACTCTTCCCAGGCAATGTGTCCCTGCTTCTACTGCTAGCATATTTCCTTCTTACACAATTTGACTAGCAGATCCTTGCTCAGCAATGTCTTCCTGCCTTTCCTGCCTGATGTGTTACACACAGGAATTGTGTTAAGTAAACACAATTATAGTTTACTTAAACAGTGGTGAATCCCTAATCCAGAATATATGACTGTATGGAGAAAAAACAGTTCCAGTGCAGCATACCCAGAAACTTCTCAGTGGCCTTCTTAGGAAGTCTTGAGGGAATCTGTCTTAATGAGAGGTAGCTCAAGATGGTCTTCATAACCTCCACTGGCTCCTGGGGAGGATGGATCACCTATGAAAGGAACAGTCTGTGTAAGAAAGGTCTCTTTCTCCGATTAACTGATGTTTCATCTCATCTGTGGGACAGTGGCTGGTGAGTTTCTCTGCATAATAACTCTATCTCAAAGTTGTAGATATGTTTCATGTAGCTGTGAGTTTCAAGAAGATAGCATACAGAACTAGCTTTGCTATATTCTGGGATTGGTTGGTATCTTTATATTGCTGCGGGCAACATGAAGTTTTACCAAAGAGTTTGTACTCTATAAACATGTATTTTTAATGTATTTTTCTTTATGGTAAGTGTGTTTCTAGATAGAGACAGTTAAAGAAGAAAGACAATTAGAACATTTTTCTTCTAACTTAGACCCTTCATCCATTAACTGTCTTATTGTTATTTGATTACATGCCATGATTAAAAAGTACCAATATGTCATATCATTAATTCTGATAAATATAGTAAAAATATACCTTAAATTTAATTTATTAATCATATACATTGTTTCCATTTGACACTTTCTTTTTTTCTCATATATATTTTTATTCTCTCAAAATTCATGAATTTTAAAGAAATGATTCAGCATCATTAGCAAAAACAGGATCCCATTTCAACTAAAATGAGCATTATCAAATTGCTGTAATTGTTATTATTTTTTTCTGAATGTTTTTCTCCCCTAGAATGTTCTCGGGTGTTTCACACAGGAGGAGCAAGGCTTGTGTTGTGTGGCAGGACATGGGAGAAGTTGGAAGCCTTGTATGATGCTTTAATTAGTGTGGCAGACCCCAGCATGGTAAGTGTTTCCTCACTGTGCTTTGAAAATTGAGAAGTCGAAGTAAACACCTTCTTCAGATACATAAAGTGCTTTTAAATACACTAAAATGAGGTATACATGAAGCTTGAATCACTGTTAGTAAAGATTTTGGTTGTCCACATAATATATCCAACAGATTCCAGAGAGAGAAAGAGAACTAAACACCTCTGAAGATCTTCAGATCATGATGCCAAAAATAAGTCAGAAACTCTGCTCTCCCAAATCAAGATAACTGCTAATGAGTGGCCCTGCATTTTGGACAAAGACCTGCCCCAAACCAGACAACTAGAAATGCTAGGTAGAGGGATTTGCCTCATTCAAATGCAAGAGATCCAAAGTTCTTCATTTAATTGCACAAACTTTCACCAGTTTTTCACATAGTAAGAGTGCTCAAGAAAGGGGAGATGTGTCTAAAGATTGAATTTAATCTCCACTAATCTGGGAGAATTCCCAGCTAGCAAGCTATGGGAGCACACTAAGAGATTCTTTTTCTCATTACTACGGGGTCACTATGTAAGTAGACATGCAAGACCTGTAAAGTCTGCCCACGCTGCCAAAGGTACTTCTTTGGAAGGTGGTTATTGAAGTTCATGGAAAAGCTTTCCTTCCATGATCAACAGATGCCTAACTCATTCCCGGGCATAGGTGTTCCTGAAGACATTAAATGTTCTATAGCCCCTGGTCATCAAACCAAGAGATACTTGCATTTTGCCCTTGTTCTGCAGTGTTTCACTTGTTTGCTACATAAAAGTCATCTTTGCAAGCAATCATACAAGTGTATCAGTTTGGATATCATATAGTTAAACAAACCATTCCTACTTTTTACATTCCCTCTGTAAATTCAATCCCTTCATGCACATGTAAATCATCTTTCAAAGCACTATATCCTAGATTGATTCTGTGGTCAGCAAATTTCTCCAGAGGGCTGCTTATGAAAAGACCATCATTTGAAGTGCTAGGAGTCACCCTAGTGGGTATCTATGTGCCTCCACTGATTACAAAACAGAGAGACAAAACTCAGTGGGATAGAATCAATCCAACCTATCCTTCCCATGATGTTCTACTTTATGCACTTACATCTGAATATCAGAGTACATGAATACTTACTGCTGAGCTACACTCTTTCTAGAATGGGTTAATAAGAAAAAAAATCAAGGTTTTTATGAGAATGGTAAAAGAACTTTCTTCAGATATAGTGGTAAATTATTAAGAATTTCTTTTTAAGCAAATAGATTAAAAAAAATAACTTAAAAAAAAAATAAACATTTTTATAACACAGGAGTCCTTGAAATAATTCTTTTCTTTGTTAGACTTATACACCAAAGCTCATTCTTCTGGATATCTCAGACATAGACTGCATTCAAGATGTAGCTAGGGAAATCCTGGATTGCTATGGCTGTGTGGATGTACTGATCAACAATGCAAGTATGAAGGTAAAAGGAGCAGTGCAGAGCATTTCTTTGGAACTTGATAAAAAGATAATGGATGCCAACTATTTTGGACCTATAACATTAACCAAAGGTATTTTATTTTTTTTACCATTTTCCTGTTACTACTTAAAGCTTGAGATCCAAGTCACTGGCTTTGCCATAATCCAGAACAAGTCTGTGAAAATCAGTGGACTGAAAGTGGACTGAGGTGATGAGATCAAAATCAGACTGCCTGAGCTTGGAAATAGATGACTAAATAAGCAGGCATTTGAAAGTCACACACATATGTATATATAAATGTCTAATTATTATGTTTTGTTTATGGTGACTCTTTTACTTATGTGCTTGCTACCTTTGTTACGAATACAACTATTTTCAAAGTGCTTGCAAGGGTACAGATAAGCTGACAAATAAAAAACCTTAATGTACCTAAATCTGCATGTAGAATCCAAGTTCTGTCTAGAAGGCACAGAGTGAACGGAGCAGACCTCAATAAATTACACCAAGACACAAATAACTTCAGATTTAACTTCTCTGTTGTTTCAAGGGAGGTATTGAAATGCTTAGAACTGAGGAGGTGCTTGATCCTGAAAAGTGCAGAATTAAGTCCTTAAAATATTAACATGTCATCATGGCACTCTGAAGACCTATGAAGCTTTATTCATTATGTTTTTGTCCATTTCCTTTTTTTTTTTTTCCTTATTTTTTACTCCTATTCTTTGTAGTCCCAAGACCTTCAAAACATCATTCCAATAATCTTGTTCAGTGTATTACTGAGATCTCAGCACTTGGGAAAACACTAAAGAAACAAATGGCCACCTGCTGTTTGTTTCCCTAGGTATTCCATTCCATTCCATTCCATTCCATTCCATTCCATTCCATTCCATTCCATATTCCATTCTTGTTTCCTTGGGCATTCTGTTTTTGAATCAGATGTGGAATAGGTTCAATAGAAAAATGTGCATCAGTTCTTCAGTACCTGTCTACCTTCCTCTCAACTGCATCTGTCTGGCTTCTCTAACTCATGATGTGACAACACATTTTCTTTTCCTCTCTTTTTATATACAAACATAGCCATTATATAAACTAATTTAACAAAACTCATACAGTCACTCTGTTATTTCAAGTGGACTTTCTAATAGGAATTTTAGACACTTCATGACCAGTCTGCTTAATGGGATACCAGCTTTTAATCTTTCCAAGAGTATTTTTCTGTTTTTCTTCCAGCCTGTATGCTGATTTGCACTAGGAATGAGCTGAAACTGCCTTCTATTTCTTCAATTTTTGTTTTGATTTGGTTTTCATTTTGCTAAACTCAGAACAATTGAACAATGTATTTTCTGTCCATTAAAGCTCTTCCTTATGATTTTAAAAATCTCAGATTCTGCCTCCAACCATTTTTTAATCTCACATAATGAAATGTGTTGAAGCTTTAACCCAAAAATTTAAGCCAAGACGGAATCCTGTTGATAGCAATAAGTTGTAATGGCCCTGAGAAGCCTCTCCTGAGGCCCTCCTCTCACTCTCTGCCTATAAGCCTAGAATACTTATTTCAGCTGAGGCCTGGGCCTTCAGTGCTTACTTGGGATTTGTTGTACATATACCTGTCTGTGGTCTGCCTTCTGGATGAACCTTAGACCTAGCTCATGGCTTGTCTTGCATGGGACTGCCAATGGACTATGTTATGAGCACCCAGCTCTGGCCACCACAGTCCTGTGGGACTGTTTGCTCCCACTTTGTCTTCCTATATAGGACAGCTGGCCCTCATTGCTCCCTAATAAGATCAGTCAAAAGTTATTTAAAGAATTTTTGCCTTTTTTGAGTTGTTTATCATTCCAGAGAAGTCTGATTTTTCTTGGGAAGTCTAAAATTTCACAAGGTTTCAAACTCTTGCCCTTTTTCCTTGTCTTAGTACCACAGCATTTACAGTAACTCAGTAGCTTCAGTTCCACGATATTAAAATAAAATTATTCTTGACCACTTTCACAGTAAAGATTTTTTTCCTTATACCTACTCTGAACCTGCTGTGATATAGCCTTGTGCCACTCCTGCACGTCTTGTCATCAGTTATCAGGAAGGAGACCAGCACCTCCATCTCCACTTGTTCTCCTCAGAAACTTGTAGAAAGTAAAGAGGTCAGTTCTTGGACTTTTCTACACACCAAACCAAACAAGTGTCCTCTGCCTCTCCTTATAAGACATTTTCCAGTCTTTTTACCAGGATTGTTGCCCTCTTCTGGATGCTTTCAATGACTATCTTCAATTTCCAGCTACCAGATTTTGTGATATTTTTTACTGCAGTGTGGAGAAAACCTTCATTCAACCCTACATTCAAAACATTCACTGAGGCAATCAGCTCTGGTGCAGGTCTGTTCCACAGCAGAGCAAGGGACAAAAGTTTGCAGTGTGTTTCCTGAGCCAGGAAAACCACAGGGGAGCACAGATGCAGGTAGCTCTTGCAAGAGTGGCTGATGAGGTGTGGGAGTGGGCCAGCAGTAATGGCAGCCACGCCTACTCCAACAAAAGGCAGCCCTAGTAATTGCCAGTAACCAGGATCACTGAGAAAAGGACAGGCAAACAGGGTGTGTTGTGTCAGCCAGGGTGTGGCACAGTAGTCTGCATGGCAATTTCTACATTAAAGCATGCAGGGCAGGTGCTGTCACTCTGCCACTTTCAATGGCAGTTGTAACCTGCTGGCAAAGAGCTTCAGTCATAGTATTCAACTATCAGAAATCTATGTCCGCTGTGGCCTCTCTAGCCACAGTAACCAACACAGCTATCCAGACAGAGCTCCCAAGACAACATACACAGCTGTCCAGGTCTCAGACTGCAGGGTGTGTCCAAGTTTTCTGTCAGTATCTGACAACAGCAGTGAATACACCTGTGGGAGGTGTGCCCAGGTAGAAGAACTGCTCAGTGTGGTGATAGAGCTTTGTGAGGAGGTAAGCAGGAAGAGGAATGTCAGGGAGTCAGAGAAGGAGATGACTGTTGGAATCATACACTACCATCCCTGAGACACATTTGTCAGCCAGCCACAACACAACCTTCCCTCTCACCAACAGGCAGGAGGGGACCTTTGGTGACAGAGGAAAACCTCATCCCTTGATATTGGGAGAGCAGATTTAAGGCTGTTTGGGGAACTAGTTAGTGAGGATTGTTGGGAAACAGCTTTTGAAGGTATTGAGGCCCACCAGTGCTGATCGCTTTTTAAATACAACCTCTTAAGAGCACAGGAACATGCAATTCCAAAATGTTGTTAAGTGAAGCAAATAGGGCAGAAGACCCTCTGTGGAGTCAGGACTTGGATCCTTGTGGGCCATTCCAACTCAGGTTGTTCTATGATTCTATAATTTGTTAAAATGCTGCTATCTTTAATGCAGCTGTCACTTTTTTTTTTTTTTTTTTTTTTTTTCCAGTAAATATATTGCACTCTTTTACTTTCTTGCCTTTTTCATTCTATTTCTTTTTTCAGCCATTCTTCCCAACATGATCTCAAGAAGAACTGGCCAAATTGTTCTAATTAATAGTATCCAAGGAAAAATAGGAATCCCATTTCGTGCAGCTTGTAAGTTATACATTCATATCACATAAATTCAAAAGTATACATTTATAAAATATTAATTCTAATGTGTAAATTGTGAATATTTCATGAATATTTAGTTATTAAAAATGGCAATTTGCATCCTTATTCAGTAAGAATAAGAAGTGGAACTCAAGGAGAAACAGTTAAAGTACTGTGAAGCTTAATTTCTGCCTAAGGTGCCTGTGGATAGGAAGGTATCAAATGTGACAGCAAGGTTTTTTAAGTTCTTGGGAGGGATTCAGGGGACAATAGACCTATAGTTCTAATATCTTGTGTTGGCTTCACACTGATAGGTAGCTAAGTTCCACCACACCGCTCTCTCACTCCCCTCCTGAAAAGAATAGGGGGAGAAAATATGATGAAAAAAGGCTCATGGATTGAAATGAGAAACATTTCAATTAAAGGAGAAGGAAGGGAAAAAAATTAAAGGAAAGGAAAAAATAAAAAAAGCGAAGGCCGCATGGAAGGAAAAGGAGAAAACAATTATTCCTATCAGCAAGTGATGTTCAGCCACATTTTAGGAATCAGGGCCTCAATATATATAGTGGTTGCTTGGAAAACCAACGCTTTCATAATGAGAGTCCCTCCCTTCTTCCCCTTCCTCAGCTTTTATGTTGAGCATGATGCCATACAGTGTGGAATAACCTTTTAACCAGTGTAGATCAGCTGTCCTGGCAATGTCCCTTCCCCACTTCTTGCCCACCCCCAGCTTACTAGCCTTTAGGTGTGAGGGTGGGGGTTGGAGACACAGTCTTTATGTTGTGCCAGCATTGCTCAGCAGTAGCCAAAATATTGGAGCAGTATCAGTACCCTTGTAACTGCAAGTACAAAGCACAGCACTTCATGGTCTCGCTGTGGGGAGAGTTAACTCCATCCCAGCCAAACCTAGTACATATCTGCACTGGGTATTTTAGTAGAAACAGTAAACAAGAAAGTAACTGTATAAATATAACATAATGGTAGAGATTAACTACTGCTCATGATTCATGCACTTAATGGAGTTCTCTACAGGAGAATAAAAGGAGATGCATTTATTGCATTCTGCTTGGCTTTCCATAAAATTTTCAGGAAGTTGTTTCACTCAAAGGTCCTAATGAAGCTAAGCTGTCTTGAATTATGATGAAAGGTCTTACAATTCATAAAATACAAAGATAGAATGTATAAGATAGATGTAAATAGAGAATTTTCACTGAAACATGAGGTCAGAGTAGGTGACAGACTGAAACAGAAGTCCCACAAGACCTTGGGATTGTGACACATACTAGGATTCATGAAAGCAAAATACAGTGACAGAAACTGTAAGAAAAATAATAGAGAAAAAAAATCCTACCATAATGCCTTTGTATAAATCCACACCCACATATTGAACATTGTGGGCATTTCCAGTGCCTCCATCTCAAAGGAATTATGATCACAGAATTACTGAGTACACCCTCAGAAAGTTTGCCAATGACAACAGACTGTGTGGTTCTGGAGGATGCCATCCAGAGGGATCAAGCCCAAGTACAAGTGTCCTGCACTTGTTTTGGGGCAATTCTAAACACAAATAGAGGCTGGGTAGGGAATTATTTGAAAACGGCACATGATAAAAAGGACCTTTGGGTGCTGGTGGATGAGAAGCTCAGCATGAGCTGGCAATGTGCAATTGCAGTCCAGAAAGTGAGCTGTGTCCTGGGCTGCATCAAAAGAAGTGTGGCCAGAAGGTAGAGAGAGGTGATTCTCCTCTTCTTCTCTGCTCTCGTAAGACCCCACCTGGAGTACTGTGTTCAGCTCTAAGATCCACAGCACAAGACACAGACGTGTCAGCAGCCTTCCAGTGTTTGAAGGGGACCTACAGGAAAGATGGGGAGATAGTCATTATCAGGGAGTGTAGCAATAGCACAAAGAGATACTGGATTTGAACTAAAAGAAGGTAGAACTCAAATTATTCTATGATTCTATGATTCCTGATGTGGGTGTGGTGGTTTTACTTGGCTGGGCAGCTGATCTCCACCACAACTGCTCTCTCACTTCCCCTCCTCAAAGGGAAAGGGGGAGAAAATATGAAGAAAAGAGCTGAAGGGTTGAGATAAGGACAGAGAGATTACTCAGCAATTATCATCACAGGGAAAACAGACTCAGCATTGGGAGATTAATGTGATACCTATTACTAACAAACTAGAACAGTGAGAAACTGGAAAAAAAAAATAAATTAATTAAAACTACCTTCCCCCCATCAACCCTCTTCTACATCCTCCTGCCAAGCAATGCAGGGGAACAGGGAACGGGGGCTGTGTATCCCTACAAGATGCCTATGAGATATCAGTCATTAATGTTTTTTCTCTCATGAAACTGACAGGGCAGTGAGGAATATAATTCTTCCTCCACCACCTAGAGATGAAAACAGATGAGGCAGAAACTGTCAAAATGCTTCAGCATGGTATTTCATAATCTGGATTGAGTTAATCACATAGCTGCATGAAGACCTAAAGTAATGACTTGGCTGCAGTGTTGTAGCCAGTGCCAAGGTGGCAGAAATTGTAATACTACTGCCTGTTCTTCTGTATTCTCACTTTTTGTACTTTGTACTTTTGTACTTTTCTTAAGGTACAATTATAGTTTACTTAAACAGTGGTGAATCCCTTGAACGTGTGCCTCAGATCATAGAACCGAAAACCTTGAGCATGGCACCAGCCACACATGCAATCATTCACCTGATCCGTTCACGTCCTTCTTCTTCGGTCCCATTCTCCAACTGGGAGGAAAGAGAACACTACCTGCACACTTGATCCCTTCAACATCTTTTTAAGGGACATAAAATCCCTTTTGATATTTCAGACCTTGTTGCAGATTTGTTCTACATTCGTACATGAGTACTAATGGGTGGTAACCTTCTGTTTTTACCAGGCTTGGTAGTGTTTTCCTGATATATTAATTACAAAAGTAATATAGTAGGAAGTGTAAGAACTGCAAAAAAGGTTCAGAAAAGAAACAACACATTGATGGAACATGTGAAATGGTTTTCATCTAGGAAACAGACAGTTTTTCAGGACATGCTCTAGATGTATAAAATCACGAGTATAAAAGAGAAAATTTTTACAATACCTCTACCTATATCTATACTGCATGAAATGAAACTGACAGAAGTAGAATTTCAAAACAAATGAAGGGAGTTTCTTGCCATTGCTAAAGATCGCATGACATTTTTTAGATTGTATTTTGAACAAATGGTTTTCCAGCACAAACCAAGTCAAAAACAGGATGAATGAGTGCTTTGCAGCTCTTAGCACGAAGTTCTAGTTTTTGGTCAGGATTCATAGACTATTACCCTTAATACCGTTGTCAATAAAAAGGGGCCAACAGCAACTGAAAAAAACATCTGTCACAATCATTTACTTTAAAATTAACTTTGATAATAAAAACCTCAGTCATTCCTGCTGGAAAACCAAGGTCTAATTTGTTTGCAAAACACTAGTAGACCTGCATTCCAGGAATGGCTATGTATCTCACTGTATTTCATTGATGTGTCACAAACTGCAGCATCATAGGATGTGGAGACTCATCTGTTTCAGCTGTCTGTCTACCAAAGACAGTTTCGAACTGCAGAGATGATAGAGTTCTTGAACCACAAACTTAATGTTTCTAACTGGGAGAACCAGACACATACTCTTTCATACACATAGGGAGACTCATACATATACTGGATGAGTCCTATACATATCATTTGCTTTTGTTTGTTTTCAAAATGTCATATGAAAATTTCGCTGGTTGAAATCATTCAACACTCTTCTGTCTTTTGGCTATTCATTCCCTGATCAGTTTTCTAAACATCGATGCTTTATGGAACACTATCATATATTCATATCAATACATCCAAGCACCCTTATATTTCTTTTCTTTCTTTTAGATGCTGCTTCTAAACATGCTGCTGTAGGCTTTTTTGATTGTCTTAGAGCTGAAATGGAAGAATTTGATATTTCTGTCAGCACTGTGAATCCAACATTCATCTATTCATACCATCACCAACCAGCATCTGGCAATTGGGAGGCATCAATTTGGAAATGTAAGGAACATATTTTAAAGAGGCCCATATAGCAGTTTGGAAGCTTTTCCCAGGAAGAAGAAGGGAGCACAAAGAAAAGAATTGAAATAACAGAAAAGATATACAGGTTAGAGGAGCAAAAGAAAAGAGATATTGGAGAAGAGAAGCATGGTGAAAAAAAGGAGGAACATGTAAAGGGAAAACATCATGTGAGAAAATAAATAAAGCAGTGCATACAGGTAGAGGTGGGTACGATCACAAGGAAGACTTCAATTGCAATTAATTTGCTCATTCCCTTATGGAAGATCTTAGAGTGTATGGTCAGGAAATATGAAAGAGGGGAAGAGAAGAAATCGAAAGTGTGTAGGAACTTAACCAACTTAACTGATGCACCAACTGTATATCCTTTCACCACCATTGCCTAAGGTGTGCCTGCAAGTCTGTATTTCTCACTCCTTTTGTTTGATTTTACAGTCTTTTTCAGAAAGGTGGAATACGGTGTGCATCCAGTGGAGGTGGCAGAAGAAGTCTTGCGCACAGTGAATAGTAAGAAGCAGGAGGTACTTATGGCCAACCCTATCCCCAGAGCAGCAGTTTACATTCGCACCTTCTTCCCTGAGCTGTTCTTTGCCATTGTTGCCTCAGGGATTAGGGAAAAGATGAAGACAGAAGAGGACGTTTGATTTTGTCCATCTCCTGTCCCTGCTTATGACCTGAATAAAATTTATGCTTCAAATGTCAATGCTTTCTGCTACTATTATGGGTGGAGTAAAGCAAGAGACTGCTTCCATATACCAATGTTTCACTTAATGATTCACTTAATGGGTCACTTAATGATTCTGGAAGCAATGTTAAAGCACACGCAGGACAGGGAGGTGCTGTGAGACTGCCAGCAGAGCTTCAACAAGGGCCAATGAAGAATCATAGAATCACGGAATGGTTCGTGCTGGAAGGGACCATAAAGGTCGTCAAATTTCAACCCCTCCCCCCCCCCCCCCTGGGCAGATACATCTTCCACTACACCAGGGTGCTCAAAATCCCATCTAACCTGGCTTTAAACACTTCCAGAGATGGGGCATCCACAATGTCTCTTGGAAAACTGTTCCAGTGCCTCACCACCCTTAAAGGCACTCACATGATTAAGTAAATCACTAAATGATTCACTGCCATTGTCACTCATTGATCCATGGAACTTCCACTCATCTGGATTTAGTGCATATGAGAAGATACATTGCACCAGTGTGAGGAAAATGTCCCCATCACTGTTTTAAGAAGTGATTCCCAATATAAATTGGCAGATCAAAGCCTGGGGAACCTGCAACAATTTATCAGAATAGTCTGCCAGTGCTAGGACTGATGGGGCCTTACAGGAACAAAAGGTTGGTGAATGAGGGAGATATGGGAGACAGAGGAGAAAAGGGAAACAAACAAACAAACAAACAAACATATGGCATTAGACTCCCAATTTGAGAGACATATTTTGCTTTTCAGCTGTACACATGCCACTGAATATTTTGCAAAGCAGGCATAAAAATAATGCGAAATCTTACTGTATTTATATTCCCTGTGTGTAGTCAAGGGGTCAAATTCTGCCCCAAGATCTGAAAAGAAGCATTTGCTAGGAAGAAATACTTAGTCTCATATCGCAGCACAGGATTTAACCCATTCCACAAAGATGCACTCTGCTGATCTACTCTTTCATAATAGTATATGTGTTCCCTAGATTTTAGTAACATTTTTCAAAAAAAAAAAAAAAAAGAAAGAAAGAAAACAAAAAAAAAAAAAAAGGAAACACAACCCCAACTGCATGTACAGTACAAGCTAAAATTAACAGCTTGGCTGCTATTTCCTGTCACCTTGTATTTGATTCCTGTGGGAAAGGAATTCACAGGTGGCTCTGCGCTGTTTCACACATCCCTGAATTAGAGATAATGAGGAAACAAGCAGTAGAAACAAAAACTTGAGCAAGATTGAGATAAAGTTAATTGGTTACAGTGTTAAGGATGAGCTTTGGGCAGTGGCCAATTGCTGGCTGGCTCGAGGAGCGTGTCTGAGGGTCTCTAAGTAAAATTGTATGACAGATTCGGGCACGTGGACAGCACTTGGGTCTACAGGGAAAGTGCATGTAGCAGTGAAAAAGGGCAATAAATGTCTCCTTTTCAAGAGCCATCAGGAGTCCATGTCTTGTATCCCTTCAACGGTAACCCCGACTTGATAGGGGAGGAGCAGCGCTGTACAAGCGTCTGAAGGAAGCTATCTTATTACTATAATGTCTTGTAGGGAGCTGTCTTAAAGCAATTAGGAAGCGTTCCTCTGAAAAGGTTGTGTAACCGATAGCCCAGCTGAAGTGCCTCTACACCAATGCATGCAGCACAGAAAAGAGAGAAGAGGGTGTGGTCTACTACAGGCCTTGTGGTTGTGGTCTACTACAGGCCACCTGATCAAGAGGAGCCTGCTTGTAAGGCCATCTTGCTTCAGCTACAAGGAGTGTCATGCTCACAGGCTTTCATCACAATGGGGGATTTCAACTTCCTGGATGCCTGCTGGGAAAGCTACATAGCAGGCTGTAAGCAATTCAAGAGACTTCTGGATTCAAGGGTAACTTCCCGGTCAAGGTATCAGACAATCCAATCAGAGGAGCAACGTTACTGGGCCTGGTGCCCACCAATGCAGATGAACTCATTAAAGAGGTTAAGACTGGAGTCAGTCTGGGCTGCAGTGACCACACCCTGGTTGAGTGGTGCTCCATGATCTTGCTGGGCACAGAGGTGAGACTGACCGGCCTGTAATTCCCTGGGTCTTCCTTTTTACACTTTTTAAAAATGTGGGTTATGTTTCCCTTATTCCAGTCAGTGGGAACTCCACTGGACTGACACGACTTCTCGAATCTGATGCAGCTACTGATCTGATCTTAGCAGCTACATCCACTAGTTCACTCAGGACCCGTGGGTGCATCTCATCAGATCCCATGGACTTGTGCACCTTTAGGTTCCTTAGTTGGTCTCAAATCTGATCTTCTCCTCCAGCGGGCAGTTCAGCATTCTTCCAGTCCCTGAATTTGCCTTCTGTGCCCTGGGCTATGTGGCTGGAGCTCCTGTTGGTGAGGACTGAGGCACAAAGTTCATGGAGTACCTCAGCCTTCTCCATATCCTGGGTGACCAGATCTTCTGTCTCCTTCCAGAGAGGGCCCACAGTTTCTCTAGCCTTCCTTTTATAGCTGACATACCTATAGAAGCCTTTCTTCTTGCCCCTGATGTCTCTAGCCAAATTTAGTTCTAAAAGGGTTTTGGCTTTCCTAACCTAATTCCTGGCTGCCCAGGCGATATCTCTGTATCCCTCCCACGATCTCTCTGCTTTCTTCCACCCTCTGTAGGCATCCTTTTTCTGCTTGAGTTTGGTCAGGAGCTCCATGTTCATCCATTGACCTAGAGGGCAAAAGCTCCTTCTCATCTCTCCTGCCTGTCATAGAACCATAGAATCGTAGTATGACTTGTGTTGGAAGGGACCTTAAACACCATCTAATTCCAGTCCCTCTTTGTTGGGATGCATCTCTCCTGAGTTTGGAGGAGGTTATCCTTGAATATTAAAAAAAAAAAGACAAGGACTTTTTTATTTTTTATTTTATTTTATTTTATTTTATTTTATTTTATTTTATTTTATTTTATTTTATTTCATTTCATTTTATTTCATTTTATTTTATTTTAATTTTTTAAGATGGAGAGGCCAGAGCTGCATGTAGCATTCAAGATAGATAAACACTTTAGATTCACAAACAGACATACAGATGTTTCCTGGATTATTAGCATGTGTTCTTCTTTCGCATGTGTTGTGCAAATTCCAAATTTTGAGAAGTTTTTCTAGCGGCCACAAAATATTGGGTTCCCTTGTCCACTCTGCTGTGTGAGGTGGTCACTCAACATATCCAATATGTGCATGTACATTAGTCATGTTAAATGTGTAAATTCCATAGATCCCCAAAGTTCTCTCACTCCTAGTCATTGGGCTTCTCTTTCTACCATATTTTTCCAGTTCATGCTCAGTGCTAACCTCTTCTTTCTTTTACCCCATGAGATTAATCAGACTGTAAAGAAAGATAATGCAAGGTTCTTAAGTTTCAGATCTAAGAACTTAAATTTTGTCTCACAAACCTTTCTCTGGCCTTCCTTATGTCATCAGCACTCAGAGATCATAAAAAAACACCTGCTGTTCAGCGGGTACTGACAAAAAGTAGAGCGAATGGCCTCAAGTTGCTCCAGGGGATGTTTAATTTGGAAATTAGGAGACGTTTATTCTCATAAAGAGTAGTCAGGCTTTGGAATGCGTTGCCCAGGAGGGTGGTGAAGTCATTATCCCCTGGGGGTGTTTAAGGAAAGGTTGGACCTGGTACTTAGGGACCTGGTTTAGTGGGTGATACTGGTTGGTAGGGTGTTGGTTGGACCAGATGATCTTGGAGGTCTTTTCCAACTTTAATGATTCTATGATTCCATGATTCTATGAAAACGCCTTGTTTGCATTAATACCTAAAGCATGAAACCAAAGTGTACTTACTGCTACAGCAACACCAGTTAGAATCATAGAAGGATCATAGAATCATAGAATGATAAAATCCTTAGGACTTGGACAATGGAATAGAGTGCACCCTCAGCAAGTTTGCTGATGACACAAGGCCTGGAGGAGTGGCTGGTATTCCAGAGGGCTGTGCTGCCATTCAGAGAGACCTTGACAGGCTGGAGAATTGGTCTGAGAGGTTCAACAAGGGCAAGTGCAGGGTCCTGCACCTAGGGAGGAATAACCCCAAGCACCACTAAAGGCTGGGGGGTGACCTGCTGGACTGCAGCTCTGCAGAGTGGGACCTGGCAGTTCTGGTGGACAGCAGGCTGACCAGGAGGGCAGCAATGTGCCCTTGTGGCCAAAAAGGCCAAGCGGATGTTGGGTTGCATTTGAGTGCTGCTAGCAGCTCAAAGGAGGTGATCATCTTTCTCTGCTCGGCCCTGGTGAAGCCATGCGTGGAGCATTGTGTCCAATTCTAGGCTCCCCAATACAAGAGGGACATAGAACTACTGGAGTGAGTTTGGAGGAGGGCTCCTAGGATGATTAGAGGACTGGAGCACCTGTCACACAAGTACAGGCTGAGAGAACTGGGTCTGTTTAGCCTGGAGAAGAGGAGACCGAGGGGAGATCTCATTAATGTATATATAAATACCTGAAAGGATGGTGTTTAGAGGATGAAGCCAGTCTCTTTTCTATTATATGACTATACCCAGCAACAGGACAAGAGGCAACAGGCACAAACTTAAGCACGGGAGGTTCTGGCTAAATATGAGGGGGCACTACTTTACTGAGACAGTGACAGAGCACTACAACAGATTGCCCAAAGAGAATGTACAGTCTCTTTCTCTGAAGATATTCAAAACCTGCCTGGATGCCATCCTGTGCAAGGTCTTCTAGGTGATTCTGCACTGCGGGTGGGGGTTGGACTAGATGATCTTCAGAGGTCCCTTCCAACACCACCCATTCTGTGATTCTGTGATTCTGTGATTCTGTGATTCTGTGATTCTGTGATTCTGTGATTCTGTGATTCTGTGATTCTGTGATTCTGTGATTCTGTGAACTGTTTCCACCTGAACTCTGTGGGGTTTCTTCTGCTCCCCATCCCAGGCTTCCAGGTCTGAAGGCAGAGTACTCTGAGGATACGTGGTCTGGCTAGTAAAGACAGATGTAAATAAGACGTTAAGAAAGTCA